CCTCTTGTACACTGGGTTTCTATGAGTCTCAGGTGACTCAACAGTACTTAACAACAACAACAATGAATAATTTAGGGAACTCTTGTGGCTCAAGGGACTGAAGAACAAATGCAAACCTCGAGTTGCTATAATCAAAGATGCTTTAGGCAGAATATTAAATGATCCAGGAAGTATTAAAAGAAGATGGAAAGAATATACTGAGTCACTGTATCAAAAGGAACTGGCAGACACAGAACAATTTCATAAAATAACATATGAGCAAGAGCCTATGGTGATGAAGGAAGAAGTTCAAGTTGCTTTGAAGGAAATAGCAAAAAATAAGGCCCCAGGAATAGATGGTATAGCAATTGACATATTTCAGCTAACAGATGCTGCCCTGGATGTGCTCACCAAGCTGTGCCAAAAAATCTGGAAAACAACTACTTGGCCAGCTGACTGGAAGAGATCTATATTTGTTCCCACTCCAAAGAAGGATGACCCAACAGAGTGTGGAAACTATAGAACAATATCATTGATTTCACATGCAAGCAAGATTCTACTGAAGATTATCCAAAAACGACTAGAACAGCACATCAGGAGAGAAGTCCAGTCTGGATTTAGAAGGGGTCGTGGTACTAGGGATATTGTAGCTGGTGTTAGATGGATCTTAGCTGAAAGCAGGGAATACCATAAGAATGTCTTTCTGTGTTTCATTGATTATGCAAAGGCATTTGACTGTGTGGATCATAACAAACTGTGGCTGACTCTGAGAAGAATGGGAATCCCAGAACACTTAATCATTCTAATGCAAAACCTATACTAGGACCAAGAGGCAGTCATCAGAACAGAGCAAGGAAACATTGCATGGTTCAAAATTGGGAAAGGATGTGTCCTATCTCCATACCTTTCAACCTGTATGCAGAAGTTTATCAGAGAGGCTGGGCTCTATGAGGAGACGTGTGGTGTCAGGATTGATGGAAGATCTATTAACAATCTGTGTTATGCAGATGACACAACCCTGCTTGCTGAAACTGAGGAGAACTTGATGCACTTGCTGCAGAGGGTCAAGGACTGTAGTCGTCAGTATGGATTGAAGCTAAAGGTCAAGAAGACAAAGATTCTCACCACTGGACCAATTGGCAGCATCAGGATGGATGGTGAAGAGATTGAGATTGTTAACAACTTTAGTTTGCTTGGCTCCACAGTTAACACTCTTGGCACCAGTAGCCAGGAAATCAAAAACCATATTACAATGGGAAAGTCTGCTGTTAGGGACCTCTCTAGGGCACTGAAGAGCAATGGTGTCAATCTGGAGACTAAGGTGCATCTGATACAGGCTATGGTCTTTGAAATCACTTGCCATGCATCAGACAGTTGGACAATGACTAGGGAGGAGAGGAGAATTGATGCCTTTGAGCTGTGGTACTGGAGAAGAGTATTGAATGTACCACGGACTGCCAAGGAAACAAACCGATTCATCCTGGAGAGGGTTAAACCAGGCTGCTTTTTGGAGGCAAGGATTCTGCGGCTTCATCTGACATACTTTGGACATGTTGTAAGGAGGGACAAGTCCTTGGAGAGGGACATCATGCTTGGGAGGGTGGAAGGAAGGCACAAGAGGGGAGGACCCTCTATGAGGTGGATTGATTCATTGACTGGGGTAATTAGGATGGATGTGTCAGAGGCAGTGCAATTGGCACAGGATAGAGCAGGGTTTAGGGGTGTTGTCCATAGAGTCGCTATGAGTCGCAAGCAACTCGATGGCATGTAACAACAACAACAACAAAGGCTAAGAATCTAGAAACTGAAAGGTCATTCAAAGTATACTGTCCATTTAATTATACTTGATTTTAGCAAAAAAGCTATGAAGCAATGTATCTAATTAATTATTAGGTAAGAAGAGTTGATGCTTTTGAGTTGTGTGCTGAAAGAGTATTGAATATACTGTGAACTTCCAAGAGAAAAAACTCGTTTACTCTTGAAAGAATGAAACCAGGCTGCTCCTTGGGGGCAAGAATTTTGAAGCTCCATCTCACATACTTTGGGCTCGTGGCCACAAGGCACCAGTGCCTGGAGAATGACATCACGCCTGAAAGGGACTGGAGGGACAGCAAAGAAGAGGAAGACTTTGGATGAGATGGATTCACACAGTAACTGGGATAATGGAGGTAGGTGTGTCAGAGACATTGAGACCAGCTTAGAATAGGGCACAGTTCAGAGCTGCTGTACTCTTCATAGGGTGGCTATGAGTTGCAGGACACTCAATGGCACCTAACAACAACAACAATAGCAAGTTTTTTTTTGGCATACATCTAGATAGTTCCATCTATTTGGTTGCATCTACATAATATCATAGGATTCCTGTTTTGAATGTCTGTGTTTTAAGATCTCCTCTCCTTCTCCCTCCCATTATTTTATGTTTCTCTGGTTATTTTAATGGTGATGTGAAAATAAATTCTATTTAAATGATATTAAAAATATATACATACGTATCTATTTCTTCTCAACTAGCTATTCTCAATTGTAATTCTCTTGCACTATTTTCTTCTTGAGTTCCTGCATAGTCCAAATGATAAAAATCTTGATTAGAAGTTCCAGTCCACTCAAATGTTCCTGAGTAGAAATATCTAGTGATCTACTTCTAAAAGTCAGCCATTGAAAATTCTATGGAGCATAGTTCTACTCTGACACTTGGATTCACCACAAATTGAATTCAAGTTGGAGCCAACTATGGTGTGTGTTCTTATCCATCTATTATTGGTCACTAGAGTGTGTTACAAACGGTTAACCCACTTGATTGTTAAACAAAAGGTTGGAAATTTTAGTTCACTCAGAGATATCTTAAAACAAAGGCCTGTGAATTACTTCTGGGTGGTTACAGCTTTGAAAATACTGTGGAATACAATTTTACTGTGAGACACATGGCGTCACCTTGAATCAGAATCAACAGCATTAATTACTGCTTTGTTTTTGTCATTATCATGCTAATTTATTTTTTTAGATTTCAAGACCTGTTATATTATTATTCTCTCTACCATTGAGACCATTCTGACTCATAGTGACACTCCCTTGGGTTTCTAAAGCTATAAATCATAATGGTAGGAAACTGCCCATCTTTCTTCCATGGAGTAGATTCGAACTGCCAGAGATATGCAGTCTTTGGGTTAGCTGTGTTAACTTGATACAGACTACACAACCAGAGTTCCCCTATACTAATACCACTACTATTATTATTATTTATTATTATTATTTTTAATTCTCCTTGGTATTAAAGATTACTATATAGTTACAGTAACTACACCTGTGTTACTGGTCAAGGAACATACACACACAACTGACAGAAAGTCAGGTTGGTACAGCACTTCAGGAAATTGTTTCTGGGTGATGTATTCTTAATCATTTTACTAAGTTGCCAGTCTACATGAGGGCATTTTGAAACAACTGTTTTCTCCCTAAAACTCAACTCTAAAGTTCTCACAAAAGTAAGAGGTAGACTCAATTCATTTCAGAAGACAAGTTTAACATTTTGAGATCCCTTGGGAGTACACATGTGAGGAAAGAGTAGACCAGAAACTAACTTTGTTCTCATCACCCACAATTATGTGATGAGAACTTATCTTTGGTTCATTTTCTTTTCTTAGCTCCTTGCACATTGACAGCTTAACAGAAGACCGCGGAAATAGTTTTCTTACATTATGCCTGAGATAGAGTAGCAGTTTAATACATATTTTATATTTTTTTAATTTTACTCTGATTTATTTACAAGGTTTGAATACATCGTTTTTCACAAAAGCTCCTTCCTATTTCCTTCACCCCTTCCTCCCTTCAAATTGTATAACCACATGCTCTTTAATCATTATCTCCATTTGCTTATAATAGTAACACCTCATAGTTCAATTCAGTTGTGTCCTGGTTCTTTCCTTTCACAGTGTCAGCTCTTTCTTTATTTCTTTTTTAAAAATTATTTTATATTT